GTCGAGCCGACTGCCACAGCATCCGGCTCGTCTTCAACCCATGTTGATGGGGTCTCACTCGGCTGAACGCCCGCCTCCTCGGCACTTTTCGATGTATCTCTTTATTCTGATAAGCAGAACCCGTTGCCGCTTGGGACTCGTCCACCAACATGAACTTATCACTGAGCTTTGGAATTAGCAACGGGCAAATGGTTCTTTCTCCTAGTGAATACCAGGTCCAGAATCTTCAGCCAGTGACACAGTACTTACAGCCATACATGTCCAGTATAACGAACTATGCAGCATGCAGTGGTGTGTGTCTGTGCGTGCGCCGCTTACGCTGCTCCTATACATACAAGCGGAACGAGCACCGTCTGTCTGTAAGCAAGAAACACCGTAACAAGGAGCTACTATGCTGTCTGCCCCCGAACATTCGAACAAATGTAAAAAGCATACCGCCACATTCTTGCAGAAGTCTGCGGTGAGCATCGCGTCGTTCTTGAATTCCGAGATGCAGGGGTCTTCTTTTGAGCTTTGGTCACCTGGCACCACCACAGCAGACGGTAAGTACCACGCCCAAAGTCCGAAGATCCGCCTCTGTTACTGAACATCATGGTCGCTTCACTGCTAGACTCTCGAGACCACACTTAAGCCCTGCCACGTCCACCCGTGCGGCGCAATAACAAAAATCCAGTGCCTGGTGCCTCGCACGGGTCTGCATCATCAAGTGTTGGATCCTCCAGAGCTGCTCTTTAAAAATATGGTTTCGGGTTGGGTCTTGTAGCGTTTAAGTTTAAGATTCCCAAGCGATCGAAGCAGACGCGAAAGCTCCCTCAAGGAGGTGCTGCTTCACTGCCATGCAATTCAACTCTGCCAAAACTCTCGCTCTCCCCAAGTTCGAAAGCCTTCAAACGCTCGCCCAATACTCCCTTTTTTCCCTACAGCCCGTTCCGCCACCAAGTCCAAGCCAGACCAGTTGTCTGCACCCGCCGTTGGCTCGGCTGCCTGGTCTAATGCGAGGCCCTACAGCGCCCCATAGCGCTTCAGTACGAATCTGCCGTAAATACTTGGAGGCCTTCATATTCTGATTTAAGTTACATTCCTTGCTAAGGGATCTTGGGCTCTCTGGAGACATCGACACCTAGACGAAACCACAACCCTCCGGAACGGAAGTCTTCTTGAATACTCTCGCGCGTGCACAGCACTGCATGTCTGCAGAACGGGTAATTATTAGATGCTCGCACGGCGAGTCTTCGCAACCCAATTATCCAAGCGTTTTTTGAGCTTTTTGAAGAATCCGGGCGACTCGGTTCGGGCCTAACTCTAATGAAGAACACCCTAGGCCGTAGCTACAGTAGCTAGGCTAAGACGGTCTCCAAGATGTCTTGGTAGCGGCCGATAAACGTTCGCATCAGGTTTCAGGTCCCGGGGCACGGAATTGGGGAAGCCGGGCGAGAACCGCTTACTTGTTGCATTTGCACGACTCGTTTACGAAACTTACACGAAGGCTACGGCATGCTACGACCATATGTAAATCAAAGTTGCCAACTACAAAAACAAGCTTGTTCCCGTAACACCGACATCAGCAAAGCGCAAGCGACGACAACCATAAGTGCTCTCACCCCCAACCTTCAATGTGCTGCGACGTGAGCATGTCGCAGAACTGTCTCGTGTTCCTGATGCAAGCTGTTGGAGCGGCGAGGGGAAATCGACCCTGCCTACAACTCGCTACCTACAATTTCGCGCATCTGTCTTTCATAATTTCGGAAGGCCCGGCAGGCCTTACTTCTGGTTTCTGAAAGTGAGTGTTCCCAACCCTGGCCGGCTTATATCCGGCAACCAGAACCTACTGTTTCTAGGGGCCTTACCCGACTAGGGCTCGGGGCTGCATTAAACTGCAGCTGTCAAGAAGGTCGTAGAAGGGACACTACACACGAATTTTTCCGACCACTACCCACCACCCCCGCATTACACACTTCGGCTCTTTGGATCCCGACCTCTCGGATTGTGAAGCCACCGGAATGTCTTCAGCCCAAACAAAATGAATTTCTCCTTATATGGGGTCTCTGTTTTGGAGCTCTACTATTAACAGTCAGGTTTTTCCAGAAACTCCTGTATACCAAGCAGCCTTTGCACCCGTCATCCTTGGACATGTTCGCCCAGGGGTTGCGGAAGAGGTTCCCCGATTCCCAGTGATCGCGCAAAGCCTTCAGCCGCAATGAAAACTCTCAGCCTTTCTATTAGATGTGTTCCACGTCTGCTCGCGCAACCACTCAAGGACTGCTACTGGACGAGCTGCAATTTTGTAGACGACCCTCGAACAGCAACAGAAGCGAACCTCACATCCCCACTGACTGTCACAATAAGTGTGTACGACGAGCAAGTTGGCAGCGGGAATGAAGACACGCCGTTTTTGTGCATGGCCGTTCTTGGCGGTCCATCATTCCTGACGATCCTATCATGACACTTAATGGTCCTAATCTGAGTGGTCATTATCTGAGTGTTGACTGCCTGCCGAATCGATGTAAGCATGTACCTATACACAGGTATTTTGTAAATGCACACGCCCACACCCTGCACTATCCAGCGTAACTCCTGGCCGATTGGCCTGCCAGCTTTGGTGGAACGAGGAGACTGACTGCCGCCCCAGTTCACCTCACTTCTGCACAAATTTTGGGTTTGTTCCCCTACAATGCTACGCAACTGACTTGTCCTCCTGGCCCCGAACTTCGTCAGGCATGTTTTCCTCCTAGCTGCATTGCTACGTGGCTCCTGACAGGCAAGGACCTCTTTACCAGTAGCGTAAGCGCACTCATGCTCTCATAGAGCTTCTTCAGAGTTCGGAATACATGGGCCTGAAACCCTGCTTACGGTATGCTCCCATCACGAGCAAACATCCTCGGAAACATATGCAAGCTCGCACACAACTCGCTAGGACTGAAACAAGCTCACCCAAATCACGGATCAATCAGCTCAAAGGCCCTAGGCTCAAACCCCTGAAACAAAAGCAAGCGAGGCCGGAAGAGAAGCACTGTAGCTCCAGAAGCCAACGGAAGCAAGTTTGCCCCTTCCCCAGCAAGGAAAGAGTGATTCTTACGGCTGGGCAAGAAGGTGGTGCTCGCAACTTCAGAACAGTCGCCTGCGAGTCTGGCTCGCAAATGACCGTACGCTGTCCTCTCTCGCAGACGAGAGAGGACAGCGTACGTGCTTCAAGCTCTAAAATACCCAAAGATGCGAGCAGCATCACCGATCTGTGGCATTGTATGAGGCTTGAGTTTGAGATTGATAAGGAAAGCTTGCCCCTTCCTCAGCTGTTGCTAAAGCTTTCGATAGCAGAAGTGCTTCTTACGGCTGGGCAAGAATGTGGTGCTCACAACTTCGGAACATTC